AAAATCTATTCATAAACATTTCAATAGAAGATAATTATCTTAAGATATCTTTAACATAGAAAGTTTCAGTACAAGATATCTTTTATATGGATCATTATATCAGGTACATTTTATATAAAATTGATATAATATATTACATTTATATGATTTTGTGCAATTTCCATGTGATGGAGCCTGCATAAATTCATAAGATTAAGCAGACTTTCTATGTTAAAGATATCTTCATCAATAGCTTTGTTAATTGTTAAAAATCCAGTATTTTATTTTGTAGACATCATGCCAATTTTAAGTGTAAAAATGTCTAAAAATCCTTGATGATTTCTTTAATTAATCTCATACAATGATTTGTAGAGATTTTGCTTAAACTTATGAATTTTTGCATATTTCTTTCTTATGAATGTAATACTTTTCATCAATTTTATCAATCCATATCAAAGATATCTTTTACTGAAAATGTTTATGAATAGTTTTCCCATTGTTGAATAATCCTACAGTTTAATTTGTTGATAAAATTTCAAATAAAATTCTTAAGAAGTCTCTATTTAGTGGAAAAATTGCTAATATTTTTATTTAGTTTCTTCCAGTTTTATTACAATTACAATTATGATTTATACTGAAAAAAACATTATAGGATTATGCAACATTTTGTCAATTTTATATAAATTACATGTATCTCATACATTCTTATGTAAAAGATATCCTTTACTAAAATTTGTCTTTCTTTGTGTATATAAAACTAATAAAATGTATTACATTTATATGAATTTTGTGCAATTTTCATGTGATGGAGCCTGCAAAAATTCATAAGATTAAGCAGAATCTCTACAAATCATTGAATGAAATTAATCAAAGTTTGTAGACATTTTACACTGAAAATTAGCATAATATCTACAAAATAAAATACTGGATTTTTTAGTAATAACAAAGCTATTCATAAACATTTCAAGAGAACCTATCATTAACATAGAAAGTTTCAGTAGTATTTACATTTAAGGTACATGTATTATTTATAAACTCAACAAAATGTTGCAATATTACATGATGTTTTTTATTATATAAATATCTTGTATTAGCACATTTTTATTCCATGAAAGGGCTTTTATGAATAGAATTCACATTGTTGATAAACCCACCAATGTGTATACAAAAATAAAAAATATATTTAAGTAGTGTAAAATGTCTAAAACTCCTTGATGATAACTTGATATCTTTCACATGGTGAAATGTATGAGTAATTATAAATTTAACAAAATGTTTTAGCAAAATCTTTACTAATTTTTTGAAAAAGACTTAAGAATTTTTATACTAAAAAGTTTCAATAGAAGATATCTTTTACATTTAAGGTACTATTTATAAACTCAACAAAATGTTGCTTTATCACATAATGTTTTTTATTATATAAATATCTTGTATTAGCACATTTTTATTCCATGAAAGGGCTTTAGTGAATAGCATTGACATTGTTGATAAATCCATCAATTTGTATTTGTAACAATTACTTCAATTAATCTCATTCAATCAATTCATCTCTATAATGATTTGTAGAGATTCTTAAACTTATGAATTTTTGCATATTAAATTTTTTTCATGTACCATGATCCAAGTGAAAGATATCTTCTACTGAAAATGTTTATGAATAGTTTTCCCATTGTTGAATAATCCTACAGTTTTGTTGATATAATTTCAAATAAAATTCTTAAGAAGTCTCTATTTAGTGGAAAAATTCCTAAAAATCCATATTGTTTACTTAAATCTCACCCAATCAATGATTTGTAGAGTTCATGCTCAATTTTTGCAACTTTTGATATAAATTATAATTTTTAGTGAAAAAACATCATATGATTGTGCAACATTTTGTCAATTTTGTATAAAATACATGTACCTTATGTAAAACTGAAACTTACATTCCTTTATGTAAAAGATATCTTGTACTGAAAATTGTCTTCCTTTGTTAAAGATATCTTTACAATTGTAAAGATTCTGCTAAATTTTGCAGAGATTTCAGGCCTCAATTGCTCATAATTCTAGTAACTTTTGAAAAAAATTATATTTAAGTAATTTATAGAAAAAAAAACTTTATGTGATAGTGCAACATTTTAAAAGATTTCTTCTATTGAAACTTTTTAGTGTAAAAATTCTTATGTCTCTCCCAAAAGTATGTACTTGAAAATTTTGCTAAAATTTTTAAAAATTTCATTAATATTGTATAACATTTTATTGAATTATAAAATTATATTTGCAGTTGCAAGAATTTTGCGTAATAATGAAGGAAACTAAACAAAAATTATTTCAATTTTAGCAGAGTCTCTACAAATTATTTGGAGTTAATTATTCACAACAAAAATAAGAATTTTTAGCCTTTTTGGATTAATTGAAGTCTTTTCAAGAGTTTTATTTATGTTACAAGTGTTTACAAAGCGTATGATGAAAAAATCTATAATTTGAGGACTATCATAAAAAAGTTGAATAAAAATGTGTTATTTCAATCCAAGATATCTTTAACATGGAAAAATATATCAGGTACATATGTTATTTATAAAATTAACAAAAAATTGTACTATCATATAATATTATATGATAATATCTATCATGTTATTTTCTGAATATCTGCAGCTGCAAAAATTTTGTGTAATTTAAATCTAATGAAGTGTGATTTTTTTTAATATTTACTTAGCACAATTTCTACAAATTATTCACAGCATAAAGAGCAACTTCTACACTAAATGAAAGTTTTTCAGAAATTCTATTAGTGCTGCAAAATTTCCAGAATATTTACAAAACAATGGGATCGATTTTTCATAAAAAGCTTAATAAAAATGGTATGTTTTAGTACAAGATATCTTACATATGGAAAACTGAATAAGGTATATGTATTATTTAAAAAATTAACAAAATGCTGTACAATCATATGATGATTATAATTTATATTAAAAGTTGCAAGAATTTTGTGTAATTTATCTCTGTAGAAAGCTAAATCACAATATTCTCAAAATTTTTTAGTCCATTCAATTACACTAAAAATAAACAATGTTAAAATTAGATATATTGTAGAGATAAATTACACAGCTTTTAAATAAATAAATGATATTTTATCTAATTTTTTATCTAAATTTCTCAAACTTCACATTCAAATAAGAATAACTTATGAAATTTTTAGAAATCTATATGAAATTAACGAGGACATATTTGTTGATTTTTTGAATTTTGTGTAAACCTAATAATGACTGAAAATATTTAGCAGAATATCTACTATATATAAATATAATATAAATAAATTTAAGTGTAACTTAAAAAATATTCAATAATTTTTTAATATAACCAGTATAACAATTAAAAAAAAATAATTATATACTCTAAAAAATTCCACAAAATTATTTATAGATGATTATTTGAGAAATTAAAATTTGTGTAAGCATTAATATATATACATCATGCATTGATCTAAATCTAAATCTCTATAAAACTCTACATCTAGTAAATAAATTAGTATACTTCCTGCATTTTCTGAAAAATTGCAGAAGATAAAAAAATGAACAAAGACAGATGTTATTTTCAGATGAAGGTGCAGTTTTTATAAGTATATTTCATAATAAAATCACAGATATAAAAGAGATCATCAATTTCAAGATTTACCAGCAAATAGTTTGGAAGATAATATGAAAAATTTTAGAGATTTTAGAAAATGTGGGAAATACTGGCAGTCGACTGGATCCTTTATTCTGCATTGTTGATCATCGAGTCAAAGTAATTATAAAAATCAGACTGTATTTTATTAAACTGCTGAAGAAAATGTAAACTAGTTGGAAGTGGCATTTAGCCTTAAGGCAAATTGCATGAACTTACTGAAATGTGTAATAATTGACTTAATCAACTGAAACTGAGATTTAGGTATTTAGGTAAAATTATTTTACTGTTTATTTTGCAGATAACGTTTTTGATTAAGATTTCTTATCAAATATTCTCGAACATATTTAAATTAACTGAAATTATATTATTTAGAGTGCACAAATAGCACATATGTGCCTAAAATTGTACTTTATTACTCGAATTTTTATGAATCAACCAATTTTTAGACTGTTTACTGCAAGAACTTTATCGTCATGTTAAATTTCATAAAAAACATGGAAATATTCTTTTTTAAACAAGCTTAATAAATTATTTTGAGAATATTAAGGAAATACTGGCATTATTTTATATATCATGTTTGTAGTTTTTGATAATATTTAATGATTCAATTTAATATTTTAAATTTAAATTTAATGATTCAAATTTTATGGTAGCATTTTTCACACAATTAGAGAAGTTCTGTAGACTGCTCACTTATTTTTTTTAATTCCAAAGTAATTTCTAATCAAATTCCATATCAAATTTATTTAAATGGCTTTTAAATTTGTAAAATTCAAATTTAGACAAAAGCAACTTTTGGCACAAATTTTGACTATCAATTTTTTTCAAATTTGAATACATTTTCAAATTTAAATGACCGTTACATTTTAGTAAATTGTTTAGGATCATGATATTATGAAAAATAATATATTAAAAAGTTTTTTTTTAAATTGTTTCGACGTTTTTCATGAAAATTAACATGGCAATAAAGTTTATGCACTAAACAGCCTTATGAAACTTGATTAAGTTATATAAATTAATTAATATTTGAAATAATAAGCTGCAATTTTAGAACATATAAGCACGTGGTCTGTGCGCCATATAGTGACAGTTAAATTTAAATGTGTTTGAAAGATATCAGTTGGAAATCGCAATGTTTAGATTTAATTGAAACCAAAACTTTATTTTTGAAATAAACAGTTGTAAATTCTATCCAAATATCTATTTCAGGAAGTTCATGCAACTTGCCTTTAGGCAAAGCGCCATTTTCAAGTTCATTCTTTTATCTCCATGTTATTTACATTCATTATTATTATCCATCCATGTTATTTACATTCTCTAGCACCGACCTGAAGGTGACGTCAGGTGCGACGTGTCAAAGTGTAAAACGTCAATTCATACAAATCATAGTGTAGTACAATTTTTGCATAGGTGATATTTTTATTTAGATAATTTTAGATTTTAAAGGGTTAATTGTGAAATAAATTTATTATATAATGTTAGATCTATTTACGATATTTAGTAAAGGGGGCATTGTGCTCTGGTGCTTTCAGAGCACTAGCCACATATTTGCACCATCTGTAAATGCACTTATTAGAAGTGTCATATTGCAGGTAAAAAATAAAACGTAAAACTTAATTCATGGAATTATGTTATATTCTATTTATCTTTTTAGGAGCGATCTGGAAAAAATACCTACGACCACGATTCCTTAACATTGCAATATAAATTAGACAATGAATTTGAGCTGGTGTTTGTTGTTGCCTTTCAGAAAATTTTGCAACTGTCATATGTTGATAAATTTTTAAATGATGTACATTTAGAGTTTAGAGATAAGTATAAGAATGACTTACAAAATAAAAGGTATTTTCAAGAATTTGACTTTGGTGCTTGTTATAACAGTATTCTGCGGGCGGCTGAAGAATGGGGTATGGTAAATTAGAAAGAAATATATAAAGTATATTATTAAAACCTGCGTTTGTTGTATGTAGTTATTTATTTCGTCAGGTCGGACTCAGGCTAAGTTACCTAAACAAATGCGTTCTTTTGAAGATTCTATGAAATCTAAAAAGACAGTTGCTTCAATGATTGAAAGAAAGGGCGAGGAAAAAAAAGACACCAAGAAGAATGGTAAGATAATATTATATCTAATATATTTTACATTTGAAATTTAACTTATGTGTATTTACCTTTTTTAGGTAAACAAAAGGGCAAAAATGTTTGTTTTGATGAAGAAGAATGTAAGATTTCATGACATCAAACTCTAAATTGTCGAAATTATATATTTTATGCTTTATTTATCATTTACAGTAAATACTAAAACTGTTATTGAACCGGTGCAAACAAATAATACAAAAAGTGACGATCCAAATGATATAATCATGCAAAATCGATTGAAACTTGCACAAAAAATGGGAGCATCTAAAAAGAAAGTTGAAAAAACGTGAGTTGATACTGATATAATTATTTGGTTAAAGATTATTAATTCAGATTTTTTGTTAAAATTAATAATTTTTTTTTTTTTTAAAGTAAATCTCCAAAAGCTGAGAAAGAAAAAGCCGGTAAAAAACCTAGAATTTGGGAACTAGGTGGAGGTGCTCAGGATTTACCAACACTTGATAGATCTAAAGATAAACCTGAAGACGCTAAAAGCAACTTTACACATTCTGCACCAGTAAGATTATTGATTTATAATTATTATTATTATTTATTAATATTTATATTTATATTATTGTAGTAATGTATTTAATAATATTTATATTATTATTGTAGATGGTTGGTCAAATGCAAGGAGGTATCCGTGATATAGAAATTGATTCAACTGATGATGAATCTTCTGAAGAAGATGTTGTTAATTCCAAAAACACTCCAAATGGTTATTCCAATAAAATGAACGGCCAGGCTAAAAAAAGTGGTGGAATGTTTTCTATGTTTAAAGGTAAGGTATTGTTTATAATTAGTTTTGAGTATTTTAACTAATTACATTATTTATATTCAAGGGTTGGTTGGATCTAAAAATTTGTCCAGAGACGATATGCAGCCTGCTTTGGATAAATTAAAGGACCATTTAATAGGAAAGAATGTTGCAGCTGATATTGCTTATAAACTTTGTGAGTCGGTGGCTGTGAAACTTGAGGGAAAGGTAAGTGAACTAGGATTTATACAATAATTGATAATTTATGCTTGAATTTCACAGAAAATTTAGAGTGATTAAAAGTAGATTTTGACTGAAATGATTTGCAGTTCCATTTTATTGTTAATGATTTTTTTTAATATATATATATTAGTGATGTGCCAAGTCGAATCAAGTGATTCGAATCATTCGAATCAAGCCTTTAACGACTTGATTCGAATCAGATTTTACTTGATTCGAATCAACTCGCATCAAGCCGCAAAATATTTACTGTGATAAAATATGTATTAACACAAATTTTTCATAAATATAAAATTTTTCATAAATATAAATATAAAAAAATGTTTTAATTTAATTCAATATTATAATAATATAAAAAATAAATATCATAAATATAAAAAATAAATAATGAATTAAATCATGCGAGCCACCCGACTTTAATATGCTTAAATGTATCAGCCAACTCCAATCGTCTTTGTGTGACTTTAACCGCATTCATCGACTAACTATATCATCCGACTTCATATGAGCCAACTCGAATCAAGCGGCGATATGAGTTATTCCGACTTCATGACTCAAACCGAATCAAGCGGCGATATGAGTTGTTCCGACTTCATATGAGCCAACTCGAATCAAGCAGCGATATGAGTTGTTCCGACTTCATGAGCCAAACCGAATCAAGCGGCGTTACGAGTTATTCCGACTTCAATTCTGATTCGAATCATCCCGACTTCAAGCCGTTCGAGCGATATGAGTTACGCGATACAATGCGTCGTCGTTCTTGCGTGTTTATTTATTTTACGGAGCGCTGAGAGCGATTTTATTCGTGAAATATCAATACCCAATTTTGATAATAATTAAGTGTTTTAGATTTTAAATGTTATCAGAATAAACCACTCGAAATTATGAAACGAGTTTCGGGAATCTTTCAATATAATTCTCTTTTGAAACAATTACTAAACACCAGAAAGTCAGTAAATAATATGTTAACTTCTGATTATGTAAGTAATGGCAAATTCACATTAATGAAATTAACTTTCAGCTCTCAGTTTAGATGCGATCCTTTACTGATTACATAGTAAAATAAACAATCGACCCATGATTCCAAATATTATTTTATATGCTTTAGTGATGCACAATTGTTTGGTAATCTATTATTGTAAATTAATTTGAAGATATGTTTTAGCCGTCCTCAAAATTACATCATTTTTAATAATTTTCAGAATATACTTTTTGATAGTGATTTATGTTTACAATTTCTACTTTGTCGGTTATATTGGTTAAACTGACAATTTTGATTATAAATTTGGATCACTTTTACTAAATTAATACATCCATCATTTTTTTGTCCATATATATACTTGATTCGAGTTGATTCGAATCATGATTCGAATCAGGTTTTTTTCTGATTCGAATCATTCGAATCGGGAATTTTTCGAGTCGGCACATCACTAATATATATATATAGATTTTGTTGTGTATAAATAGATATATAAATGTATATATGGATTTTTCATCGAAATTTCATATAAAAATGTAGGTTTTGTTGTGTATAAATGGATATATAAATGTATATATGGATTTTCCTTTGAAATCTCATATATAAATGTAGGTTTTGTTGTGGATATATAAATGTATATATGAACTTTCCTTTAAAATCTTAAATATAGATGTAGGTTTTCTTGTGTATAGTTGGTTATATAAATGTATGTATGGAATTTCCTTTATAATATCATATATAAATGTAGGTTTCGTTGTGTATAATTGGATATATAATTGTATATATAGATTTTCCTTTACAATCTCATATATAAATGTAGGTTTTGTTGTGTATAAATGGATATATGAATGCATATATGGAATTTCCTCTGAAATCTCATATATAAATGTAGTTTTTGTTGTGTATGGTTGGTTATATAAATGTATGTATGGATTTTCCTTTATAAATTCATATATAAATGTAGGTTTTGTTGTGTATAAATGTATATATGGGTTATCCTTTATAATTTCATATTTAAATATAGATTTTGTTGTGTATAAATGGATATATAAATGTATATATGGATTTTCCTATAAAATCTCACATATAAATGTAAATTTTGTTATTTATAATTTAATATATAAATGTATATATGGAATTTCTTTTGAAATCTCATATATAAATCTAGGTTTTGTTGTGTATAATTGGATATATAAATGTATATATGGAATTTCCTTTGAAATATCATATATAATCATAGGTATTTTCGAAATAAACAGTTGAATATTTTACTTAAATATCTGAATCTGAATTCTCATTGATAAAGTCGATTATTTACACATATCGCAAAGTTCATGCAACTTGCCTTAAGGCAAAATGCCCTTACAACTATTTATTTCCATTCTTTAGGTTTTGGGAACATTCGACACAATAGCTGCAACAGTTAAACTCACTTTACAAGAATCTTTAGTACAAATTTTATCACCAAAACGCCGTATCGATATACTGAGAGATTGCCTTGAAGCCAAATCTCAGGCTAGACCTTACGTGATGACTTTCTGTGGAGTAAACGGTGTCGGAAAATCAACAAACCTGGCTAAAATATGCTTCTGGTTAATTGAGAACAATTTGAGTGTTCTGATAGCCGCTTGTGACACATTTAGAGCAGGAGCTGTGGAGCAACTGAGGACCCATACGAGGCATTTGAATGCTTTGCATCCGATGGAGAAACATGGAAACAGGACCATGGTGCAGTTGTATGAAAAGGGATATGGTTAGTAATAGATAGTTGGTAATTGTATATAAATACTAGATGACCCAATAGACGTTGTCCTGTACCCATATCTACAATTTCTACTTAAAATAATAATTATTGTTTTTTAAATTGCTCTTCACGCCCAAAATGCATATACATTTATAATATGAGCGATGTTAAATGTAGAACTGCTTTAAATAAAATGATGAGTCTCAATTCCCACATTATATTGGAAATTGAAGTCTTTTAAACAGTATAACATAACGATAACCAAAACATAACACTGGTACTTCATGTTGGATTAAATCAAATTAATTATTTATTATTTAAGATATCCAAAATTGCATCTTAAACTTCTCCTAATTGATATCGTGATAGCCGAATTGTATGTATTCATCTTTACTTTCCCATTTGTTGATATAAAGTGAAATTTTTACGAAATTTAAAAATATTGTGGAAGGATTAGTAAAAGATGCAAAGAAATATATAATGTATATATATATATATATATATATATATATATATATATATATATATGTAATATTGAAAAAAGACTATATTGAAAATTTAATATCCAAATCTTGTGTTGGCGCCCCCTAAGTAGTGCGCTCGTATTTTTCGCATGCATCGCATTAAAGGTAGGACCGGCTCTGATTAATACCAAATTTCATATTTTAAGTGAATTAATTTGCCATATTTGTTCATATGTGTATGATTCAATCTGCCATACATATACTGTATTTTATATTATTTTAATTTTTGGCACATGTCAGCTGCTCTTTGACAATAATAATGTAGACATTTCATTTTTCTTATTCATAATCATAAATTTGTTATACATATTTTAATATTGTCTAGGTTCATATGTAAATTGAAATTTTTGGCAGATGATAGTTTTCCTTTGTTTTCAATGCAAACAATGACATGTCGTTTTTTGCAATTTTCTCCATTCATTCTAAAATATTGCACATTTATCCCAGTACTTTATAATCACATAAATCCTAGAAAATTTCCTTAACAAACTTCAGAAAGATTTATCAAAATCCGCATAATCGTTTAGGAGGATTATACAGTGAGTGCTTGTAATTTAATATGAACTTTATATGATAGCAATAAAGCTCAAATTGATTCTACTATTGATTTTAGTTGGAAAACGTTTGTATGTGAAAAACAAAAGGGCTGATTTTAGGGTTTTCTTGGCAATTATTCGATTTTTTCTCGTCGTAAGAACCATCCTTGGACATCAACGAACATTTAAAAAAAAAATGGTCCAAATTAGTTCAGGCGTTGTTGAGTTATGCGCTTACCAACACATTTTGCGATTCATTTTTATATATAAGATTATCATTTGTTTTATTTTAGGAAAAGATGCTGCCGGTATAGCAAACGAAGCCATCCGCTTTGCTAAAGACTCCCACATCGATGTGGTTCTTGTGGACACTGCTGGTCGGATGCAAGACAACGAACCATTAATGAGAGCCCTAGCCAAATTGATCAAAGTCAACGAGCCCGATTTGGTGTTATTCGTCGGCGAAGCACTTGTAGGTAACGAAGCAGTTGATCAATTAGTCAAATTCAATCAAGCCTTAGCTGATTATTCCTCAAATGTAAACCCCCATATCATTGACGGCATTGTATTGACCAAATTTGATACTATTGATGACAAAGTCGGAGCAGCGATATCTATGACATATATTACTGGGCAACCCATTGTTTTCGTTGGTACAGGACAGACTTACACGGATCTTAAGAAATTAAATGCTAAGGCTGTTGTTCATGCCTTGATGAAATAATTATGAATATTTATGTCCTGCTGTTGTAAACCGTTGTATAAATAAAAGGTTTTAATATACTGGCACAATTTTGGGAAATTTAAAAGATATCTTTCATTGCTCTATTGCCTTGTATATATATATAAATTTTGTGTGAATGTTGTATCCGAATACTATTCGGAAAGTTTTGTGGTGTATAAATGAATATATAAATGTATATATGGAATTTCCTTTGAAATCTCGTATATAAATGTAGGTTTTGTTGTGTATAAATGGATATATAAATTTATATATGGATTTTTCTTTGAAATCTTATAGATAAATGTAGGTTTTGTTGTGAATAATTAGATTTATAAATGTATACATGGATTTTCCTTTTATATTTCGTATATAAATGTAGGTTTCGATGTGTCTAAATGAATATATAAATGTATATATGGATTTTCCTTTGAAATCTCATATATATAATCATAGGCTTTGTTGTGTATAAATAGATATATAAATGTATATATTGATTTGCCATCGGAATCTCATATATAAATGTAGGTTTTGTTGTGTATAAATGATGTGTATATAAATGTATATATGGATTTTTCCTTGAAATCTCATATATAAAAGTAGGTTTTGTTGTGTATAAATGAATGTATAAATGTATATATGGATTTTTCATCAAAATCTCATATATAATCTAAGGTTTTGTTGTGTATAAATGGAAATATAAATGTATATATGGATTTTTCCTTGAAATCTCATATATAATCATAGGTTTTTTGTGTATAAATGGATATATAAACGTATATATGGATTTTTCATCAAAATCTCATATATAATCATAGGTTTTGTTGTGTATAAATGTATATATGGATTTTTATCAAAATCTCATATATAGTCATAGGTTTTGTTGTGTATAAATGGATATATAATGTATATTGGGATTTTCCTTTATTATTTCATATATAAATGTAGGTTTTGTTGAATATAAATGGATATATAAATGTATATATGGATTTTTCTTTGAAATCTCATATATAAATATAGGATTTGATGTATTTAAATGTATATATGGATTTTATATCAACATCTCGTATATAATCATAGGTTTTGTTGTGTATAAATGTATATATGAATATTTCTTTGAAATCTCATATAAATGTAGGTTTCGATGTGTTTAAATGGATATATAAATGTATATATTGATTTTTCTATTAAATCTCATATATAAATGTATGTTTTGTTGCATATAATTGGATATATAAATGATTTGCCATGGAATCTCTTATATAAATGTAGTTTTCATTGTGTATAAATGGATATATAAATGTATATATGGATTTTCCATTGAAATCTCATATATAAAATTAGGTATCGATGTGCATAAATGAATATATAAATGTATATATGGATTTTCATTCAAAATCTCATATATAAATGTAGGTTTTGTTGTGTATAAATGGATATATGAATGTATATATGGATTTTTCCATGAAATCTCCTATATAATCATAGGTTTTGTTGCGTATAAATGGAATATATAAATGTATATATGGATTTCCCTTTGAAATCTTATATATAATCATAGGTTTTGTTCTGTATAAATGGATATATAAATGCATATATGAATTCTCCTTTGAAATCTCATATATAAATGTAGGTTTTGTTGTGTTTAAATGGATATATAAATTTATATATTGATTTTCTATCGGAATCTCATATATAAATGTAGGTTTCGATGTGCATAAATGGATATATTGATTTTTCATCGGAATCTCAAATATAAATGTAGGTTTTGTTTTGTATAAATGGATATATAAATGTATAAATGGATTTTCCATGGAAATCTCATATATAATCATAGATTTTGTTGTGTATAAATGGATATATAAATGCATACATGGATTTTCCATTGAATTTGGAAGCATATGATAGTACAGAAATGTATAAGATATAATTTGCACACTACAACCATCAGTATACAGTAATAAATTAAAATAATGTTTGAGATCCATTAGAGGCAAATTCAAATTATGTATTAACATGGAATAATGAAAATATTTAAAAATTCTATATTTAGTCTACTACTTCTTTTCTCATGAAGTTATTAACTTTACAAGATTTTACTTATTTATTTTAACAAATGATTTGGAGTTTAACCATTTGATTTTGTACAAATTTATGCATTTTTATTTGTGGAGCTGATATCTGTGGATATTGTCAACTAATATTGTACAAAATTATTAAATTCCTAGAAATTTTGCTAGTGCATTTGTGAATTTATATGCAGTGCAGTGATAAGTTAACAGGTTAAATATTTTTCATTCAAATTAAATACCTGAAATAAAACTACATCTCAACTTTCTATTAAATACAATAATAAAATAGAATAATTATTTATATTTTATTATCATAAAGATTATTTTACATTTATTCAACATCTTCATCATCATCATCGTCTTGTGATGAGATCTGGAAGTACCTCAATTCATAGGAGTCCTTGCCACCATCGACAACACGGATCCAATCGCGTAAGTTGTTCTTTTTCAAATACTTCTTTGTCAAGTATTTAAGGCACCTTTTCGAGAAGGGGATATCAGAGATGACAGACACTTTCATTTTTTGGCACTCCAACGAGACGTTGTTACCAAAGTTGTTGGTCTTTCCGTTGACCTTTATCCTCTCTTGCAAGTATTTTTTGAAGTTCTGTACATCCATAATGTTGTCTTCGACGGGGGTGGTGCAGTCGACGGTAAATTTAAGAGATACCTTCTTTTTCTTCAATCCCTTTCCGCGAAGTTGTTGTTTTTTGCCAGTTTGGACTGGGCCTTTCTTTGCTGCTACTTTCGAAGCCATTTTCAGCACGTGTTTTTTTTAATCAGCCGGTGATTGAAGTAGAGCAGCTGTGCAGTCCTACAAATATTCACAAAACATTAGTAAAAATAATCACACCTGGTAATAAAAAATAGTTAGAAGTATCCTTGGCGTAAACTGTGTACTGAAAATATGTTAACCACAAAACTTGCAGTGACATTCGAAGTGAGAATAAACAAAGTTATTCAACACAATATCAACATAGTAATATTTTTACGTAAAATAGCATAAAAAGTATATTTTTGAATATAAAACAACAGGGTAATTGATATTTACGTACTTTTACAGCCACAAAGAAATAATTCCCATGCGAACACGTATAAATTCACAAGGCATAGAGAGGGAAGCGGGGCGAGCAGAAGGCAAGTTGATCGTGAT